TCTAGTCCACCAAATTCCAAAACTATTGGAGAGCAGATCACATTTTTCTGTTCTAAAACGCAAACTCTGAACACCTGGCAAAGCTGTGTTCCCAGCCAGCATGGGCACCTTTGCTCTAAAACTAGTCTAAACCTCTCAACTAATGGATTTTGAAAATGATACTTTAGAGAGTAACTTCCGAAAGTGACTCAACCAGTTAGGACAGCCAAGCCTGGAATATTTCTCCACTGTCTCCTGACTCCCTAAAAAGCACTCTTTACTTCCATGATGTTGGACTTATTTCTACCAGGCCTTCCTGGCCCCCAACCCCTAATCAAATAGCATCTTCTCACTCTTTTTCCTGCACCTTCTTCACTATTCCCTCTTCTTTAAATGCTTTCATTCCCACATTCCTCCTCTATCTACCCAAATCACTTCAACCTTTTAGGTCCCATCTTCTCCACGAAGCCTTCTCAAATGCTTTAGCCAGCGGCACTCACTGTCCCATTCTCTGAATGCCTATTGCACGTAGTTAGTATTAGGCATCCAAGGGCCTATTTTGAAATGTTGTAGGTGCTGGACTTGTCAGCAACTAAACGGTACACTCCTTCAAGATGCTACATATATTTTAGGTACGCTTCCTAATACCTTACACATATCAGGCACTCCATAAATATTTGCTGACTGATATGAGGAACATGATTAATGTTGTGTGTTTTTAAACAACTGAATAGATAAGATTTGACCATGATACATTATTAAAGCCTATTAACAGGGCACACTATAAGTACAACAACTTCTGTACAGCCTATTTGTGCTATCGGTGTGTAGTGTTTCAGGGGAAGCCCTGAAACAGAGCTAGGACATGAAGGCCACATGAAATTCTTGGTTTGATCCTGTACCCACCAGAAATGAGTCTTCCTTAGTTTTTACAAGCCTGCGGAGCTCCAAGGGGCCTCCTGTCTGCCAATCCCACCAATTTCATCTTTGCTTCCCCTGGTCAATTGTACAAAAGGAGGCTGCATCCAAAAATTCAGCGCACAACAGAGGAGTGAGGGTGAAAAAAAAAATAATGATTTTGCAAAGTCAAAATTTTAGCTGCACAATGGTAAGATATGTACATATATAATACCTTAATTTAAAAAATGGGGGAAAAAATTTTAGCTGCATTACTCACATGGCTAATTGAGACTACACAAAAAGAAACCCAAATAAGAACAGAACAGCAACATTATCAGGTATATCATGGAACACTGACAGTACTGAAACTCCAACATTCCGATATACTTTCCTTGTTAGAAGCCACTTTTTTTTTTAATGAGGTATGACATCTGGGGATATTCACTCTCAGCCTGCTATTCAAAGAATATCCAAATAAACAGCACCATATCCAAATGGTAATTCTGTTTCTCAAATGCCTCATGAAAAGAACACCATGATCAACTTTAGCCTCCTCACCTACCCTCTTATCTTCTATCATGAGACTCTTCACAATCACATACTTGAACTTCAGGGTGCAATTACTCAAGACAAGTGTCCCTGCAGAATATGAAACTACCTCGGCCAGTTTTACTACCTATGAAGTGTGGGCTTCTCAAACTACTCCCAAAGCTTTCATCATCTTAAATATCCAACAGTGAAAAAATAATCAGCATAAAAATGCTGGTTCTCGTTAGGCAAGTTCCTTACTTTTGCTTCAGCATTAGGAAAGTCATAGTTGGACTGGAACAACTTATATCAGCACATTTCATTTTGGGACAGGAGCCTTTTTTAGAGAGGGAGTCAAAAATCAATTTGTCCGTCCATTAATATCCAAAGTAAGCTACTCCAGTTTGCCAGCTATTGCTCTGAACTGGCATAAGATACAAGTCTACCTGTATTAAGCCAATATTTCTGGTTTCTTATCACAATACTAGCAGCAGCCTCAAGTTATATGGTGATGACTGTTTTCATTTCTAAACACAAGGCACACAAAAAATAATACATATTTAGGGTACCCTTAGCATCTATAATAATTCTGTCACATACATTTCTATCCAAGTTCATAGCTTAGTTGCCTGTTTCCTGATAAGCCCTCACATTTTATGGTGATAGCTGAGTAAATCTTCCAAAATGAGTACATGCATAGGTTTTATCTTCATGCTCACTACACACGTATGTTTGACCACCCAGCCTGGATACAAATGTGCAGCAAAAAGATCTACAGAACCAAACATACATTATTTTTATTCCCCACTTTGTTTCTAATCTGAAAGATTTACAGCTTTCCTACAAAAGCTGAATCTTTTACATGTGAATACTGACAGGATATTTGATGATATTAGGAAACTTGTTTACTTATGGTAGATGTGATAATGGTACTGTGGGGGTTTTGGTGTTTTTTTAAATCATTACCATTTCCAAGTACATACAGAAATATTTACATATTTCTCCTATCACATCTAGGAGGGGAGATTGAGTAGATGAGATAGAGATGAAACAAGATGAAACATGAGCTGGCAGTTGGTGAGCTGGGTGTTGGGTACATTGGGGCTTATCAAACTGTTCTCTCTACTTTTGTATATGTTTAAATTTTCTATAAAGTTTTAAGAAAACTTTTTCAAGTGTTAGACCATTTAGACTCATACACAGGTGTGTAAATAGTATTTAGATACTAAGGTAGCATAATATTCAGCAAACCAAAATAACTGGGATTTTGAATTAAGAAAAGTAGCAGGGGAAAAAAAAGATAATCGCAGCAAGAAAGGTAATGGTGTTAACGGCAGACTTTGAACTTGGTCTTCTTTAAAAATTAAAAGTTTTTCAAGCCCCAAAAGAAACTAGCAGGGCACATTTTCTCTCAAATGCCAAATGAATAAATATACACATCACAAGCCCAGGCAAATATTTATCAAAAGCAAAAATGACTTTAGAAACTACTGCCTAAGTTATACCTATTTCTATTTGGCCTTCAAAAATGTCTATGGGAAACTACAGACCTCTCTTACTTACTGAGAGGGGACATGGGGCAGCCCAGGGTCACCATACAAAACGCAGAACCACTTGTAACTAGATCTTACAAGTACTGTCCCAAACTAACCACCGATAGCAATCATGAACCAAATTCTAGGCAGCATTTTCTATTAGCATACATGCTGATATATCAATTCCTATTTTAAATCAACAGAGAAACAGAGGGAAAGAGGTCACACTGTACAGTACCCTCCCACCTCAGCAAAGTTGAAGCCATGGTTAGCATTATCCTAATAAGTGGTGAGCCTCAACACTCAAAACGATTGTGCACAATTCTTTTTAGCCAATAAAGCACCGGTTCTAGAACCGAAGGGTAACAGATTCAGTCACCAACATCAAAATCCATGGTCACCAATACCACTAGCCACCCTCCCTTCCTCCCCAACCACTGGCCACCATCCACCACCACCATTACCACCAGCAGCCCAACTAAAAAGCAGTTCAAATAGGGGGGGGAAAAAAAAATAGGAAGGCTTCTGTTTAAAAATATATTAAACCTGAGACCCAAACACACACACAGAGAACCAGCAATCTCAACCTGTACAGTTACTGCAAGTGAGATTTAAGCTATCATTAACGACGCTGGCATATTTGATCATCTCAAATAGTACCATAATAACAGCACAAAATCAAAGGGAAAGGAAAAAGTTTCCTTCAGGAACCTCTAACCAGGCCAAGTGCATAAAAGGCTAGAAACCAACTATCTTGATTTTGTGCTTAAGCAAAGCTGGACCAACTCTGCAGAATCTCAAAGCCTTTTCTGTGTGTGGTGTGTTGGGGATGGGGAAAGCAAGGCAGGGGGAGGGAAAAGAGGGGTTACATTTGTAGAGACCAATGACCCATGCCAGCACCAAATCGGATTCTTCCAGGTAAAGACAGTTTCCCCCTGACCCCTGGACAGTCTACCTCTAACTACCCACCCTCTTCCCCAGAAGCTGGTTAGAGGGCAGCAAAATGTGCTTTTGGAAATCAACACTGCAGGTACCCAAGGAATAAAGACTTGTATATACACACAAAGCCCATCAGAAAGGAAAGAGAGAGAAAAGAAACACACACACACCCACACCAAAAAAAAAAATAAATTTAAAAAAGGAAAGGGAGAGGGACAATTGGGTGTCAAGCCCTTCAGATACCAGCTAGGATTGTATTCTTCCCTCCCACCAGTCGTCCCTTGTGTACCTTTTCCTGTCCTTTAACCAGACTGCTCCTATACACCCATGTGCATATATCTATGTGCACAAATATTATAATTAACCCTTCCTGTATCAGAGCCCCATGGGGAGCACTGAAAGATATTCCATCCTTTTCTCTCAGCTCTCCCCTCCTCCCTCCTTTCTCCCAACCAGGAGAAAACGCCCCCTTCCCCAGCTTCATAAGAAAAAAAAAAAAAAAAAAAAAGGCAGGGAGAGGGGGACAGAGACACCACAAAACACCATCAGTCTCCAGTTCCGAGGACATCCAGAAAAGGTATACACTCCACACACACACACACACACACACACACACACACACACACACACACACACAAGCACATATGGCTCCGTAGAAAGCACACACAGAGAACCGTCCACAGGCGCCCCAAACCCAGCAGAGACTTCCACCAGCTAAGAAGCCATGATTGGGGAGGGAGAGGAGGAAGGAGTAGGGGCAGAGCTATATCGGTGGGGAGGGGGGCGCATTGTTGTGATGCCCGAACCCCTTTCTCCGTGCCCATCTGCTGCGGAGGGGGCGCGGGGAGGGGGCGCAGGGGACAGGCGAGCGAAAACGAGGAACCCGGGAGCCCAGGCAGGGCTTGGCGATTCCCTCCTGCTGCCTGCCTGCCTGCCTGTCCGCGCCCCCCAGTTCCTATTCCCCCCAACAATAAGATCTCCAGCCTTAGACAGACAGACAGACAGACACACCGGCCAGAGCACACCGTGGGCGAAGCTGACGGCGCCGGGCACCGCGAAAAATGGGGTCGTTGCATAGAAAGGAAAACCAGGGGGAGACGAGGGGGGTGTCCCCCTTACCTCCAGCGCTTCAAAAGTGACAAAGCTGGTCATGGCAAATCCATCAATGATGTCCTCTTCGGCCGACGTGGACTCCCTGCGCTTCCTCCGCGGGGGTCGGGGCCGGGACGGGGCGGCGGAGGACGGGGGCTTCCCATTGTCTTCCTTGTCGGAGCCCGACGACGAGGCGAGCGAGGGCGCCCGGGTCCGGCCGGCGGCGCCGCCAGCAGCCGCGCCGGCCCCCAGCCCGCCGCCCCGGGAGCGCCTCTCCCGGTCTCGCTGCGACCGCGACCGCCGCTTCTTGCGGAGCCCGTGGCCCCGCGCCGGGCCATCCATGGCTCCGCCGCGCCGGGGGCTGCCCCGCTCGCCGCCCGCCCGCCACAGGGCTCCGGCCGCGGCCGCACACGAAAATCAAAAATCAAAATAAAAAAATGACACCCACCCCTCCCTCCCTCCGCCTCCCCGCTCTCTCGGCTTCCCTCCGCCCCGAGGAGGGCGCGGGGGAGACGGCGGCCGAAAGAAGGGAGAGAGGGGAAGAAAGAGAGGAGAAAGGGAAGGGGGGAAGGGGCGGGGGGACGGGAGGAGGGACGGGCGCGAGGGCGAGAGGCGAGAGGCGAGGAGCCCAAGTGCGGGGCCGGCTGCCCCCCGCGGCCCCGCCGGGAGGAGGGTCGGGGGAGATCCCTGCGAGCGAGCGAGCGGCGCCCGAGCAAAGTAATGGCTGAACACACAGGTCTCCTTTAGAGGGGAAAAAAAAAAAAAATAACTCACCGAGCAGGCAATAAATCAGAATAGCGGAATGCTTTGATCAAGAGGCTGGGAGGCTCCGGGGAGCCCTCCCCGCGGCCATTCTCCGCCGCGTCCCCCCCCCCTCGTTGCTCCCCGGTCCCCCAAATACGACTGCGCCCCCACCACCGAGTCCAAAATCGGGTCCGAAAAAGGTCGCGGGAAAGTGGGGGGCAATGAACTTCACCCGCCCCTTGGCTCAGGAAAACACCCCCGCCGCCGCCTCGCCTCTCACACACGCCCCGGAGCAAACTCACTCCCAGGCTCCCAGGTTTTGAGGAAACGCGTCCAGGGGAGGCCGGGGCTGCCCGGCGATCGGAGAGGGAGGGGACCCCCCAGGGAGGGGAGCATAATAATGAAATAATTAGGGGAGGAGAAGGAGGAGGAGAGAGCGAAACTGGCAGAGGTGGAGGAGAGGGAGGTGGAGGAAGGGAAGGAGGAGGATGCTGGAGCAGTTGTGGTGGGGTTTTTGCTTTTCGGGTCTTGGAGGGGGAGAAGGAGGGGGGGGAGCTGAAAGAAGAGAAGAAGCAGACAGACCCTGACGCTGCCACCCACCCACCCCCCCCCACACACACACACACACCCCGATCTAAAAAAAAAAAAAAAAAAAAAAAAAATCCAGTCCAGAGAAGAGGTCACCCTTTCTCAAAAAAATGGGAGGGGGTGAGTCTGTCGACGAGGAAAAGCAGAAAGAAATCTCCAGCGGGAGAGACACCGGGGTGCCGCCGCCGCCGCCTCTTCGCTGCGCCCAGCCGGAGGGAGGAAGGCGATCGGGAAGCGCTGGGGACGCGGCGATCACCGAGCGGCTAAGGCTGCCACCGGAGCCCCGAGCCGGAGGGTGCACAGCGTGTCCCCGGGCGGCTGCAGCGGGAGCACGGGCACAGCCCCATCCTCCGCCCGCGCGCCCGCCTCGCTCCGCGCCCGCTCCTCCCCCTCCGCGGCCGGCCCACCGCCGCCGCCGCCGCCGCCTCAGCCCAGCCCCGCACCCGCCCGCGCGCGCCCGCGCACGCGCCCTCCCCGCGCCCGGCCCGGCGCGCGCTCCCGCCCCCGCGGCCCCGGCCGGCTGGTCACGTGGCCCCGGGCCGCCTCCGCCCCCGCCCCCTCCCCAGTGGTGGAGAGTGTGTAGAAAGCAAAAGGCTGCGGGCTGGCCGCGCTCCCGCGCCCAGGGCATGCGCGCTGGGGCGGCCGGGCCTGCGCACTGGGGGCGGAGGGGCGCGGGGAGTGGGCGGCGGAGGTGGGCTGGGGGGCGGCGGCGAGGGGACAGCCTGCGTGGGGTCGGCTGCGGCCACACAAAGTTAGCGCGCGAGGGTGTGGGAGCCGTGCCCCGATCCCGCCGGTCGCGCTGGGGATGCGTGTGGGGCCACCGTCCCCTGGCTACTTGGGGAGCCCAGTTCCGCGCCTCCACCCCCCAGCACCCTCCTCGGGGAAACACTTGTCTCTCGACCCCCTGCCGCAGGCCCTCCAGGGGCTCCCCGGCCGCCTTCTCGGGTGCCCCCCTCCCCCCAAAGTGTCCTCCCTGGGCAACCAGCGCCGGGAGGGAAGGAGGGGTTTCTGCGAAGGGACACAAGGGGGCTTCCCTGGGAGGGGTCGCGCCTGGAGGCTCGGGCATGGGAGCGGGTGCCCCCAGGCGCAGACCTCGGCTCCCCTGGAGGGCACTGGGAGGCCCCACGCGCGGAGTTGGGAACTTTTCTTCCACGTGGTAGCACCACGCGTGCCCGAGTGACCCCGCACCGTGATGACCTCTGGACCCTCCTCGCCGCCTGCAAACCCCGGAGGCTTTTTGGACGCGCTGGGAGCGGCTTCGGAGCTGCAGCTGGAGGCCGGGACCGAACTTGAACGTCAGGCCGTCTTGGCGGGGGAGGGGGCGGGGCTGGAGGGGCCGCATCGCCCAGACCCGGACCCTTAGACCGGCTATAAACACACCGTCCCGCCTTGGCCGGCTACCTTTAGTATGGGTAAGGAAAGGGACTTTCAGACTTTTCCTATCACTGCCTCTCCTGTCTCCGCAATGGAGCTCTTACAAAAAGTTGTACTGAAAAGCTTAGTGCAGCTGAGAATATGACAACAAAAGTGACTAGCCTTTCTGGATAAAATAGCTGTGCGTTTTGTTTGTTTTTTTTGTTTTGTTTTTTTGTTTTGTTTTGTTTTCTGGGCACGAATTTATTTAGTATTTTCTGGCATATAAGACGACTTTTGAAACGAAAAAAAGTCAACTGAAAATCGGGGGCAAAAGACCAAAATTGCACAAAAATTACCTGCAGATCTTGAAGGCAAAGTAAGTCTTTTCTTTGAAGTGGGGTGGGGGGTAGTCTTATACAGCGAATATAGGCCTAAACCTATGTTTTAACTGTAAAATTAGGGGGTCATCTTATACGCCAGAAAATACAGGTACTAAGTTTAGAAAGAAGCCAGCAGCTCTTTCTCACTAGCCAGTTAGATACCCGCTTCCCTTTCTGTCCAGGCACTTAAACACCCTGACACATCACCCCCTGCCCCAGGAACCCACACTTGGGGAGGAAAAAAAGGGAAATGAACTGACATTTGTTAATTGCTCACAATGGTTCAAGCACATGCCAGACGCTTGTACATGACATCTCTTTAGATTCTAAATGTGCACATTTATTTATTTTTGTATTACTGGGAGGAGATGGTAGATAAAAACAGTGAGGACATGACAACCTGACATAACCAAGATTTGTTTATTCATTCATTCATTTGTTCATTTAACAGTTATAGGGCCTATTATGTACCAAGCACAGTTGTAGGTACTGAGAATACAGTGGCACACAAAACGCAGAAGGTCCTTCCTCTTGGATCTTGTGTTCGATCAAGTAGGCAAGCCTCACTCATCTTACCCTTCCTAAGGACAATGGAATGGTTATTCATCCCCTTTAAATCACACTCTTCAGGGTCCCCATGTCTGGATCTTGATGGAACTGAGGTAGGAGACAGAATGGGACCATGGGAGGGGCCATGGCACCAGAACAAAGAGGAGCAACCACAGAAATGTAAATAAGAATTGAGCATTCTGCCTTTCCAGGGAACAATTCATTTGACCATAGGCAAGCCTCTTAAATGACTAGTTTTCTCATCTGTAAAATCAAAAGATTTTCTATTACTGGTACCTGTTCAAAAAGTTCCCTCTCAGGTCTACCAGAGGCCTCAAACGATGGCATCTTTTCCAGTAGACTGTGTTCTTTATTTCTTGAGAAATAGTGACTGATACATGGGATCTGATTCCACTTATTAGGAACAAGGTGCACCTTCCAAAAGAACCTGCCTCAGATAACTGAGTTAGCTAAAACAGTACCTCTGGACCAAGTGTAACCTTCTAGGATGCTGCCCTGACAGCTGCTGAAATCCAGGCTGAAGTTATCAAGTTCATGCCTACTAAAAATGGCAAATTCTTTTCAGTTTAAAGCAAGGATCTGGGATCATTTTTAGGGTTTTTAGGATTGTAGAAGAACTAATTTTGCATTTATGGTCACTTCTCAACAGCTCTGTGGGTTAGTTTAAGGAAAGTGTGAAATTGGCAAATATAATAAAAAGTGTGATATTAGTGACTTTCCAGAGTAGCCCTTGGCAGTCTTGTCTTTAAAGAATATTGTCTCATAGGAGGGGGGGGAAATGGATCGCAATGCACTGCATTCAAGAACCCTGCCTCTGGCAAGAGTAATTTGCAAATGCATTTTGGGATCCTGTTTAAATGTGTTTTTTTGTTTTTTTGTTTTTCAGGATCTAAGTGCAATGCTCCTAAAATTGGTAATGTCTTTGGGTGAGAGTTTCAATTTCCTTCCATCAGAGAATGAAAATTGTGGATTAGATTGCCCATATTTGTTTCCAGTTCTCCATATTGTCTATCTAGGTTGTAGGAGCTAATGATTAATAACCACCATAGCTAAGCACTAATTATGTGCCAGGCATTGTTCTATGTTGTGTTAAAATAATACCTCATTTTTACACCTATTTTATGGTGGAATAAGCTGAGGCTTGAGAGGGTTGTGCATAAATGGTATAGCTGTTTATTGGCAAGCTGAATTTGGTCTGAGTGACTCTAAAACTTGTTCTCTTAATGGTTATACTGAAATTCTCTACTTGGAATGATTCCTCAAGGAATCAAATACTATGTACATAGTCCAACCATTTTGGAAAACTGGTAATATCTACTAAATTTAAGGATATGAAAACCCTATGGCCCAGCAATTCATTTCCTAGGAATATATCCATGTCAAATGTATATCAAAGGTATCTATTAGACAGCTCAGAGCAACACTATGTATAATAACCCCTAACTGGAAACAATCTGAATCTTCATTAACAGTAAAATGGATAAATAATTGGTGATATGTCCATATAACAGAATATTATATAGCATTAAGAGTGAACAGTCTGCTTCCAAATGCAGTCACATATATAAATCTCATTAATATAATGCTAAGTGAAAGGCAAAACTAATTTATGCTATCAGAACTCAGAATAATGGTCACTCTTGATGTGAACTAATGACTGGGAGGGGGCATGGTGGCACTTCTGGGAGGTTGGTCATGTTCTTT